CCTCAGATGTGACCTCTTGCTACAGGTACATGGACTGAACTAATTAACTAAAATCACCCTTCTAAAGAATAAATAGTTTCAGCAGACATAACTACAATAATAAAGTAGGGAGGCAGAGTGATTTATTTTGGAATAAAAGCATCAAGTATGGTCTGGTAATTCTATTTCTAATAAAATATAATTTGCTGTTTTAAATAAAGCAGAGGACTGTGATTTGCCTCCAGGGTTCCATTGAGAAGATCCAGTAGTTGAGATTCCTCCTCTACTTTCCCTTCAGTCACAATGTTTTTCTGAAGAAGAGAACTAGGAGGACACAGACACAACCACGTCCTTACTGAAGCAGAATGAGATGGTAATGTGGAGTGGGCCTAGAGAGCACTGGTCATGTCACTGGAACCATGAATGTATAGCAGACCGCCATACTAATTTATATAGTCTGTACATCAGCAACATGTACTGTACTTAGAGCATGGAAATGCTTAGCAGGTTCCACATGGAAATCACGGGACAGGTGGACTAGCCATGTAGAATAAATGCACTACAGGATGAACAGCACTGAGGTATAATTTAGAGTAGCGGTCACTAAATGTCGAACCGCGGTCCGAGAACTGCCCAAGCAGCACTCTCGCCAAGGCCAAAAGACTAGAATGACAGACCCACTGCTCAGCAGGGCAGTCATCTTGGCAACCAATTACATCATGCATGCGCCTCGCCCCTTGCAGCTTACTGTCAGTCACGGCTCCCACTCCCTGCCTGTCCACCAGCGCGCACCTCACCACAATCAGCAAGGATCCCGGCAAGCTCCTGCCTCCCACTCCTGTCTGCCCTCATGGTAGGGGTGTGTTCTTTCTGGGGGACCTTGATGGGCACAGTTAATGCTAAAGAGTAATGCTGATGGGCACATTTAATGTTAAGGGGCACTGTGATGGGCACATTTTATGTTAAGGGGCATTCTGATAGGCATTCTTTTATGTTAAGGGGGCACTCTGATGGACACGTTATATTAAGGGGGCACATTTGGGCACATACTGTGGAAAGTGGCACTCTGATGGGGAATATGATGTAAAGGGGCACTCTGATGGGGAATATGATGGAAAGGAGTACTTTGGGTGTAAGGGGGTACTCTGATGGCAATACCTGATGTAAGGTGGTAATGTGATGGGGATACCTGATGTAAAGGGGCACTCTGATGGGGACAACTGATGTAAAGGAGCACTCTGATGGGCACACCTGATGTGATGGGAATACATGATGTAAAGTTGCACTCTGATGGCGACACCTAATGTAAGGGGGGCACGCTGATGGGCACACCCTATGTAAGGTGTCAACGTGATAGGGGAACCTTATATAATGGGGCACGCTAATGGGGACAACTAATGTAAGGGGGCACACTGATGGGAGACACCAAATGTAAGGGGGCCTTCTGATGCAGAAACCTGATGTAAGGGGGCACTCTGATGGGAATGCCTGATGTAACGGGGCACTCTGATGGGAATGCCTGATGTAAGGGGGGCACTCTGATGGGAATGCCTAGTATAAGGGGGGCACTCTGATGGAAACGCCTGATGTAAGGGGGTACTCTGATGGGAACACATTACTTAAGGGAGCGCTCTGATGGGAACGCCTGATATAGGGGGGTACTCTGACTGTGGAAACTGATTTATGGGGGAAGTCTGATGGTGGCAGCCAATGTAATAAATTACTCTGGGGGGAACATGATGTAAGGGGGAACACTAATGGGGACATTTATTTTCCCACCTCAGCCAGAAGAAGGTTTTAGTGACCGGACCTCCTTGAATTTTAATTCAATACCCCTGATTTATCTGGATTTCTAGATCTAGCATGTCAGCCTATTTTTGTTTGAGCTGCTAAGACATGCAGAAGCATAGTTAAAAAGGGTTTTCTCAGGTTAACTGCTTGTAAACCTCAGTCATGAAATCTGAACAGAGCACAGCTATCTGTAGTGTTTACTTGTCTCTCGCCAAAGTTCTAAGTGTTGTTTCTCTCTGGTACTTCCTTCATCTTATCAGCATGGGTCACTTCTGACAAGTTTTCCCCACACATGAGATAAATTTGTGTGGGGGAGGAGGGGGTGGCTCAGCAGACAGCTTGTCTATTCAGAATATAGCAACTGTGTACTGTGAACACAAATTAGCTGCATGGTCAGTTGCCACAAAGAAGCCTTTACTGCAACAATGGCACAAAAAAGTCTGGTTACAATATGCACGACAACACCTTGACCTCAGAACTGTAATCTGGAGTGATGACACCAAAATAGAGCTTTATGGTCACAACAACCATAAGTGCTATGTTTGGAGAGAGGTCAACAAAACCTATATCAACAAGAATACCATCCCCACTGTGAAGCATGGTGAAGGCTCACTGATGTTTTGGGGGTGTGTGAGCTCTAGAGGCACAGGGAATCTTGTGAAAATTGATGGCAAGATGAATACAGCATGTTATCGGAAAATACTGGCAAGCAATTTGCATTCTTCTGCATGAAAGCTGCGCATGGAATGCTCTTGGACTTTCCAGCACGACAAGGACCCTAAGTGTAAGGCCAAGTTGACCCTCCAGTGGTTACAGCAGAAAAAGGCGAACGTTCTGGAGTGGCCTTAACAGTGAAGATGCCAGGGAGAGAAGACATGGAGAGATGCACCAGGGAGAGAAGACAGCCGGAGAAGACAGCCGGTGAAACCAGCGGTGGTGAGGACACTGCTGGAGCGGGGGACAGGTAAGTGGCTGTATTTTAAAAGTCAGCAGCTACAGTTTTTGTAGCTGCTGACTTTTTTTTTTTTTTTTTTTCAGGTGGAACTCCACTTTAACATCATCGAGCTACTCTGGGGAGATCTCAAATGTGTGGTTCATGCAAGACGACCAAACACTTTGCATGACCAAGACAAATGAGCAGCTATACCACCTGCAAGAATTTGAGGCAAATAGTAAAGAGGCAGTTTTGCTGTCTGTATTGAGGAGACCTGGACTGTGCCTGGAAGTATCCATAATCTGACTTTGACCTGCTGGGTGAGCTTGCCTTTAACAGAGACTTTGCAATACTGTGTTTGCTCTGGCTGGGACGCTGAAAGTTATTCATGTAAGACTGTGTTGTACTGATGGGAAGATTTACCTGTCATGTTTAAACTGAATCTGAAGACAAAGTTTGTCACTTTTATGTTTGGTGATACAGTAAATAAAGCAGATTAAGTTTATTAAACTGTCTGTCAATAGCCTGTTTTGCCCCTCTGATCCTAACAATATATATTTAATAAAGTGGCCAGTGGTGAGTGTATATGTATATATACAGTTGTGTTCAAAATAATAGCAGTCAGACATCACTAACCTGATCAATCACTGCTTTTGGTAGAAATGATATTTCTACATGGCAAATAATTTACTAGCAGGTGTAGTAGAGTAATAGAAATCCAATAGACCCAACAGTCATGACATGCATGCTGCTGATTCTGTGTAATTGAATCACTAATTGAAAGGGGCATGTTCAAAATAATAGCAGTGTGGAGTTCTATTAGTGAGGTCATTCATTCTTTGAAAAACAGGTGGCAATTATTGCCCTTATTTAAGGAAGGAAGGCAGCAAATGTTGTACATGCTGGTTACAGTGCATTTCTCTCTGAAATTCTGAGGAAAATGGGTCATTCCAGACATTATTCAGAAGAACAGCGTGTTTGTCAGACGACCCCCAAACACTGAATTCAAGCCACGGTACACTGTGAAGACAGTGAAGCATGGTTGCGCAAGCATCATGATATGGGGATGTTTCTCATACTACGGTGTTGGGCCTATTTATCGCATACCAGGGATCATGGATCAGTTTGAATACATCAGAATACTTGAAGAAGTCATGCTGCCTTATGCTGAAAATGAAATGCCCTTGAAATGGGTGTTCCAACAGGACAACGACCCCAAACACACCAGTAAACGTGCAACATTTTGGTTCCAGACCAACAAGATTGACGTTATGGAGCAGGGGCGGACTGACCATTTGGAAACTCGGGCAATACCTGAGGGCCCGGGGTCAGTAGGGGGCCCCATGAGATGCCTCTGATACCTTTTTCATAGGCTTTTTTGAGTTTGGGCAAGGACACAGGGGCCCCATGATCCCCTACTGCCCGGGGGCCCCATGAGTTGTCAGTCCGCCTCTGTTATGGAGTGGCCAGCCCAATCCCCGGATCTTAATCCAATAGAAAACTTGTGGGGTGACATCAAAAATGCAGTTTCTGAGGCAAAACCAAGAAATAGAGAAGAACTGTGGAATGTAGTCCAATCATCCTGGGCTGGAATACCTGTTCACAGGTGCCAGAAGTTGGTTGACTCCATGCAACACAGATGTACAGCAGTTCTCAGAAACAGTGCTTATACAACTAAATAATAATTAAGTGATTCAAAGGAAAGCAAAATCTTCAAACATTTTTCAGTTTATATAGTCAATGTTTGAGTTTGTAAAGAAGAATACAAACACTGCTATTTTTTTGAACAGTCTAATATTCACTTTTCTTACATTTTTTTAAGAGGAACAACACAAATTTGATATATTTTTCTTCATGTTTTGATTTGGAATAGAATGTGTAGTGTTCCCAATGCATTTGTGTGTATGGAAATAAAATTTATTAGAAGGATTTTGAGCTTTATTCACTTTTTCAACACACTGCTATTATTTTGAACACAACTGTATATATATATATTTATATAAAATCTAATCATGACTTCTCTTTTTTTTTTTTTTTAAACACATGCCTCTGTTTAGTTTTTAATCAAGTTAAATGTACAGTTTTAAATGTCAACTCCGTCCCAAACTGATCTTTTAGTTTTGAGTTGAAGCATTAGTAAGATTTCCCTGTAGCACTTCCTAATCCAGAGAACTGAGATACCACAACTTGGTTGTGTAATGGCAGTGACAGATATAAAAATAAAATTTGGGATGTAATTCAACTAGTTATTCAAATATCAGTTTTGAGTAAAGAAACATTTAAAATTCATTCTTACCCGCACAAAGATGAGTGTATTACTGTCCCCAACCTGATATTTTCCCTCTGATACTTTAATCATTGGAAACTGAGATGGACAACGGCAGCACCCTAATATCTCACGAACCTGCAGACAGAAAACAACGATGTTAGGAGGCAACAAACTGACAGTGTGAACTGAATAAAATGAGTGGCCCAAAAAGGACTTCTATTGATTCTTCATCGCTCTGTGATGAATTGTTAAACAATGTAACAGGTGCAAACTTTGTATTATCATGGACTCTATAGGTAGTAAAAAGATTTGTTCTATTGATCTATCACTCATTTTACAGCACACAAGTTTCAGTGGAAATCATGTGCTCAAACTGGCACAGTACACAGACTTAGAATAAACACAGTAATAGCTGGAGAGAATACTTTAATACCTGTCACACACCCTTTCTTAAAATATCATAAAGCGCAGATCCACCCAACAATAAATCTCTTCTTCCAATGACAAAGAAATATTTTTATTAATCTATATGCATATTTCCTCTAGCACAGGAAAACTTATTTTGCATATTTTTCGCAGTAATCAAACAGATGTTTGCATCTATGTTCTTATATATGCAAAAACAGGAAAGATGACAACAGCCTGACTTGTTGAACACAAACACCTTCCATTTCTTCTTGTTAATAACATAACTTCAGTCATAAAGAAAAATAAATAAATTCAAATACTGTATCTACTGACTAGAAAAACAAAAAGATGTTCTGTCCAGGTATACAGTGCTGTCCTCACCCGGGCTAGTTCTTCAATGATCTTTGGGTTCCCAGCATTGGCATGTGTACTCAGGAAAACCGGCTATGACTCCTTGTGGCTTCACAGTCGGCTTCCCACTGCGCAAGCACAGTGCAGTGTATGAATGGTCCCGCAGCTTTCTGGGACCTGTGACATGTGGGTGATGGAGGGGCGGGGTTGAGAGCACTTCTGCTCCAATCACCTAGGTGGTCGGAGCGGATATGGGATTGGATAACTGCTAACACTAGGTACCCGCTCCCTCCACCCTAAAAAAATCTCCAAAAATGGGAAAGGGGGGGGGGGAGGCATTAAAGCAGAACTCAAAATCAAAAGCAAAATATAAAATGACATGTATTATGCAGACTTGCCACTAGCATTAAAGTGGAACTAAACCCTCCTATCCTTTACAGCTAAAGAAGCTGCCATTTTAACCCCTGTTTGATCTGCAGTTGCCATGGTGCTGCACATGTGATCAGTTATGTCACCAACCATTTTATGGCTTGACCATTTGGCTGAGAGATCAAGCAACTGTGACAGTTATCATTCATGGAATGCCTTGAATGTAACTGTTTTTGGAAACAGGTAAATTGATGGGTTTAGTTCCTCTTTTCCAAAACAGTTACCCCGTAACATATTTTTTTACCTGTCCGTTCTGCCAATGAATCTGTTGTTTTTCAAATTCTTTTAACAGACCAAGTTGTCCAAGCAAAAGTGTCAGATGGCTAAAACAAACCATTTGCCACTGACAGGGGTGCTTAAAATGGTCGGCTTTTGGTTAAAAGCTTTATCCTAAAGGCTGGAGTTGGTCTTTAATTTGTTAGTCACTTATGTAAAGTTCATCTAAATCTTCTAGTCCACCTAATACTACCCTCTCCAGACAGTGCTTTTTCCAAGGGTGTTTCCATTGCTCTTCCATAGATAGAGGAGACACCCTAAGACATGAAGTGTGCTACTGACCCGATCACCAGGTGACAGTAAAGAAAAAAATCTAATAACAGAAAAACTAAAGTCCGCCATAGTTAAATCGAAATTCAGCCATAGCCTGCAACGCTGATCCATGTATTTCAATGGTGGGGAAGTCTCCTCACTGTCAGAATACAATAGCTCCATGGGAGGGATTCCCCCATCCACCTTAAATGTGTGGATTCATTAAAAATTAATCATGTATGGCCTGCCTAATGCAATCACCACATCCAAGAACTGGTAAGCTTCAATATATTACATTTTGTTTTTGGATTTAGGTATACGCACCCTCTCTGTGGATTTACATATCTTCCAGGGACCCTATGCAGAAGTCTGTATCTCTACTTCTTTCCATAAAGCTACAACAAAGTTGTCACTGACTTATTAGTTAAGCAATGGATAATTCATGGACAGTGGTACAGTGACATGGGGGTGACACCTTTATTCAGTTGTAATGGCTGTGGCAGTTGGGAAGAATTGGAAATTCAGGTAAGAGTTCCCACTACTGATGTACCCAGGAGAGATAAACAGCCAGCAGGTGCTACTCCTTGCCAGGCACAATGCAAAACCCAAATATCTGTTTTTAGTGGAGTTTACCTTTAAGAGTATAAACTCACAACACAGGTCTTTCTGTTCTCTGAGATGTGGATCTCTATGTATGATTTTTTTCTGAGAATTAGGACACTGAAGTTCATTAGATTTTCCGCAGGAAGTCTTAGTCTCTGCGTCACCTTGGAAACACAAATATCTAGGGAAAGTCTACAGACTGAGTTGACATACAAGAACTACAGGCAGGAAAAACATGTCATGATATCACTTCCTTTTACGAGGTTGATGGGTTTTGTGCAGAACACTCTTACACTGGTCTGATTAATAGAGGCTTAAAATACACAATCAGTCAACAGTAAAAAGGCGTATACTTGTGACAAAAATGAAAAAATAATATAGAGTTTGAGTAAATTCTGTTCTCTTTTTCAACTATGTAACCCAGAGTTGAATAAAATTGTATAGAATGCAATTACAACAACATTTAAAGAGATCACAAAACTCTGTTCCATGACAGTGCAAAGATGCAGTATGCCATATGAAACACTGAAATATTCCCAAGGGAAGGGACAAAGGGCACTGATGTATGTGTTATTGCACCCCACCAACAATAACTGTTTCCAAAACATTGGGATGAATGTAGTTTAATGCTGGAACGTTAAAAATGATCTGAGCCTAGGGTGAAACTAAATACAGAACTTCTATTGTTCAAAAAGTCTGACACAAGGCTGATAATAAATGTCTACATTCTACTTTATTGCCAAAACTAACCAATGATACAATCCATGCCTGATTAGCAGCCATCAGCAAAGCCTTAGGTGACCTTTATAGGGATCTGTCATATGAAATCCTAGTGGCATTGTACTATTCTACTATCTAAAACAGGGTTTCTCAACCAGGGTTCCTCCAGAGGTTGCTAGGGGTTCCTTGAAAAACAAGAAATATCTGCCTCTCAGATAGGTTCCCGCTGACACCATTGATATTTTTAGCTATCTGTAAGGGGGTAATTCTTCTCAATGACCACAAGTGTAAGGAACATTCTTCCCACTGACCATCACACGAATGTATCATGAGCTGAAGATACAGTAATTTTTAGCAGAAGACCTGGAGACCAAAGAGTCATTTCAAGGGTTCCTCCGTGCTGAAAAGGTTGAGAAAGGCTGATCTAAAAGATTAGCTCTACACATGGAATTTAGAGGGCATTTGGGCTTGCTGTGTCCTCCATAACTTGTAAACTCAGCTAAGATTGCAAGTTTATTTCAATGTTGGTGGGAGAGCAAGGGAACAGTAGAAGGTTTTCTCCTGCTTTTTGTTAAGAACATTGCCAAATGTTGGACAAGTTGGATCTGGTGGTAAATATCAAGATTTTCTAGATGGTCAGTTTCCACCCAGTTATGTTAGCCTAATCCACTTAACTGGCTATAACAAAAGCAAGGTATAGACAAGAAGGTAGGATTAAGGAATATAGCTATGTTTGCCAATCTAAAGAGTTGCTTAACTACAAAGATTACTGTCTGTTTAACAGTTGGTGATGTTTGAGTAGAGGACCTCTTACTTAAGAGCTCCAGGATATGCAAAAAAATCACCCATTACTACACACACCTACACAAAACACTACACAGTTAATAAAATGTTGACAGTCCTTACCATTTACGAGAAAAGTCTAATTGAATTTTCATGACTTCATCTCTGTAATTCAAAAGATAACATCATCTGCTCTGCCAAGGAGGAGGTGTAACAGCAGGGATTAGATCACATCTTCTCCTTGCTCTCTGCAGTAAAAGGAAACTATACCTTCCACCAACCCCAGGGAATTGTAGTGAATGTAGATGGGTACACTAGGAATGTACATGTTGAATATGTCTGAGAGTCCCAATCCACCCACCACTGCAAGTGGGGCTGAATTACATCACTGCTTCCTGGAGAAAGAACTACAGAAGGGATGTGCCAAGACCAGTGGCTGGGGGAATAGGAGGCATAGAAACCACCAATCTTACAAACAGGAAGCCAAAGAGAATTAACGGTTTAATTTGAAAATGAATAGGCTATTTCAGAGCAACTACTGAGTGAACCAGAAGATGGGTGACATATTCAGTGAAGGTAGGAAATTAGCAACAAGAATATGTAAAGAGGTTTTTTCCTGGAGTTCTGCTTTAAAGGAACACAATAATGGTTTTGGACCAATTTAATCTAGTGTTTTTTTTCATACTTACTAGCCAGTTTTGTATATCTGCTTTATTATATACTGTATGAACAATCACAAAGAATTTCCAAAGCAGTATGGGTTAGCCAAAGAGAATACAGTCAACGAAGCGTGAGTAGCTGTTCCTTTTGTAAGATTCAGGCTGGGGGTACAGTGAATTTGAACTGCTTTTTGACTGTTATCGCATTTGAATCATATTGACTTCAGTATGCTGCTAATTGGAGGAGTGACAACAAGTGGTTAAATCTTTCAGCAGCAGAGAAACTTACTCACTGGGGTACAGTGGCTGGGGGTACAGGGAATTTGAACTGCTTTTTGACTGTTATCACATTGGAATCATGTTGAATTCAGTATGCTGCTAGTTGGAGGAGTGCCAAGTGGTTAAATCTTTCAACAGCAGAGAAACTTAATCACCAGTGTAGCCCTAGTCTTAAAGTGGAATTCAATCTACAAAAAATAAGAAAACACTAACAGGTAGGATTTTTGTGACAGAAGACCCTATCGGTTTCTTTTGTCACAATCCCTTCTACCTGCCTGTCAGCACTTGTGTTCACTGGGTCGCACATTTATGGCACAGCTCTGTGCTGTGATGATGTGACTCCCGTACACATGCTTGGGAGTGGCGTCATTGCGGCCTAGCCACCGAGCCGTCAGACGGAAGACCAGAAAAAGGTGGCTGCACTCATGACCTATAGGAGCACTGGCAGTTCAGAGCTAGAGGAGATCATTAGCCAAGTAAATCAGCCATAATGTGCCAATATACTGTGCATACTGGCACATTATGGCTAAAAGCTCCTGGGGTCCAAATTTAATTTTTTTTGCAGAGGTTTAAAGTATATTTAGTTTTGGATAGAGTGCAAAGGCATTAGAATGCTTGCCAGTTTTTATTTCTGTCTGTGCCCCTGTTAGGGAGATTTTGAAAGTAAAAGAAAATCCTAAATTTTGGGTTGTCCCCAGAAAAGTAAGAGGAGAAATTTTTCAATGGGGACACTAGTTCTGGTGACCTAGGGGTCACCCAAGGAATTTCCTTAATTTGCAGGGATTTCCTCTCACTTCTGTTTGGCTATGGACAAGAAGTGAAGGGAAATCTCCACAATCTCCCTTGCCCTATCCGAAATGAAAAAAAAAAAAAAAAAGGTTTTGCCTATAGTTCTACTTTAAATTCTCTATAAAACTCTTACTGAGCCCGCTGATGAGGAATGACTTGCCTATAGTTCTGAGATAACTCTGAGGTTTGAGAACAAGTTTATTTAGCAGCGGTGAAAGGGATACAGTACCTTACATGGTAAAAATAGACTACAGTGACAACTGTTGGCTGGATAGTGAACTAAAACGATAGTAATATACATTTTTTAAAATTTGAATTCCTATCATAATAAATAAAGGACTGTTCCTCCACAATAAAGCCAAGATAAAACGTAGGTATACTTCGTAATTATTTATGTGCCTTAATGAAACTGCATGGCACACACACACTAAATGAGTAGTGACATCAGCACTATCATGGAGATGTGTATATCCAAGTGGGGCATATTACTTTTTATCAGGAGTATCCAAGGAAGAATAAAGTACACAATGCATAATGGACTTTTCACAGGTTAGTATTGGTTTTATTATAAAGAGAGGTAAAATTTTAAAATCAGGAACATGAAAACTGCGAGTAACAGGTCCCTGAATGTTAGTTCATGTAGAAAGGTGCATAGAGATTGGTTATAGTCCTGATAGTTATCTAAAGAAGCACTTCACCTGGCCAGGGGAAAATTAAGTCAGCAGCTACAAGTACTGTAACCACTGACTTTTAAGAAACGCCAACCTAAGAAGTCTAGCGCTATTTTCAATGCACACAATTCTTCTGATCTTCCACTCCGTCATGTTTGATTTGCAAGTCGGCTGTGACTTCCTGATCACTCACAGCTGACGTCCAGTTGCCATGTGCGAGATCCAGACTGTAGGGAGACTGGTCCTGTAGCCTCTTGGATATGTGACAATATCTAGAGAGGCTGTAGACAGGCAGGTGGCAGGGGCAGAGGGGCACTGCAAAAAAAAGAATTGGAAGTGGGTACCACCAAAAACAGGTACTCTCTTCCCCCCAAAAAAGGTGATTGTGTAAGAAGCTAAGGGGGAGGAAGTAGGTAATGATGAATGTAATAATTAGGTGAAGGTCTGCTTCAGTAGCTTTTGTTCCCTTTTAGAACCCATTGCTGCTCCAACGCAGCTTTCTTTGAGGGCCATTGTAGAGCCTACAATGTAAAACCATGGTTTTATGCTGGAGGTATAATATTAGCTTTCCTTTAGCTGAAGAAAGGTGACAAGTGACAGCCAGAGCTGTGGCCTCGAGGGAAACATCTAACCTTCCTTGTATCATAATCTGAGAAAGTGAACTAATAGCTTCTCGAATAGGTATCAAATATCCACCAAGAAGAAAAAGCACAACAGTGTACATTTGCTAGAATAACTAGTACATCAGGATTTTTGTTCTGGTGTCTGCACGTTTCTAATACCAACTCCAAATATAAACCTAAACTATACTCAGTAAAGCAGATTTAAACTATTCACAGAAGGTGAATCTGACTTCATTTGACATACTACTTTCCAGGACTGGTTAGAATAGAACCCATAACATGTGATTGTTATAGTCATTTAAGCTACTTTCTTTCTGCATTTGTGCTTACTGGGCTCCATAATGTGTGCATATGTTTGCTCATGAATGCATAATAAACAGCTGTTAGTACAAACCAGAACGGAATGAATTCCACAGAGCAGTATAATACATTGCATTGCATCATTATAATACTCTTAAAATGCTGACAGGACACTATAGACTTGCCTTTCTCAATCATTTTACCCCAGAGGAACCCTAGGAGTAATAATTTCAGGTCTTGGAGAACCCCAGCTAATATGAATTAATCGGGGTCAGTGGGAAGAATTTCCCTTACAATGGTGATCAGTGGGAAGAATTTCCCTTACAATGGTGATCAGTGGGAAGAATTTCCCTTACAATGGTGCTCAGTGGGAAGAATGTCCTTTGCATTGGTGGTCAATGGGAAGAATCTCCCTTACAATGGTGGTCAGTGGAAAGAATGTCCATTACACTGGTGGTCAGTGGGAAGAATGTCCTTTACATTGGTGGTCAGTGGAAAGAATGTCCTTTACATTGGTGGTCAATGGGAAGAACGTCCTGTACTTTGGTGGTTAGTGGGAAGAATGTCCCTTACAATGGTGGTCAGGGGGAAGAATGTCCCTTACAATGGTGGTCAGGGGGAAGAATGTCCATTACATTGGCGGTCAGGGGGAAGAATGCCCATTACATTGGTGGTCAGGGGGAAGAATGGCCATTACATTGGTGGTCAGGGGGAAGAATGTTCTTTACATTGGTGGTCAATGGGAAGAATTGTCCTGTACACTGGCGATTAGTGGGAAGAATGTCCCTTACATTGATGGTCAATAGGAAGAATGTCCTTTACATTGGTGATTAGTGAGAAGAATGTCCCTTACAATGCTGGTCAGTGGGCATAATGTCCATTGCATTAATGGTCAATAAGAATAATGCTCCCCTTACAGTGATGATCTGAATGACACACTTACAGACACCTAAAAAGATCATTGATGTCATGCTGGTGGCTCTGCCAAGTGGCGTTGGACCTAGACACCATCAGGTGAGAGGTCAGTCAGCCACAGCTAATGGAACCCCTAACAACCTCTTAAGGAACCATGGTTGAGAATGGCTGGTATAGACTACATATGATGCATACCAATTCATCCAGGTTCTTGAGATCATATATGGTACGTGGTGGTTGAACAGGAATCGGTGCCCGTGGATACTTGCGCTGTTCTAGATTCGGTTTGCCCCGACTAAGCTCCTCATCAATCTCTTCTTCCATCTGAATGAGCATTGGTGCTGGCATCCCAAATCGTGCCCCACGTCGGGCCACCTCAAGCAAGCACAGCACAAAACTCTTCTCCCCTTTCCTCAGTACCAGATCATTAGTTTCAAACATTAGCACCTCTGGTATGCCAAGCTCCTTGCGGCACCAGCTAATGAAGTTAGATACATTGTCCCTGGCCATGAATGAACCTGGAATGGCTCCTTTAACCTGGAATGTTACATCCTTTTGTGGCAATCTCATGCCAGCAGCAGCTTCTGGATACTGTGTTTTAAAATCTTGTGCCAGCCGATTGAGATTATTAGCATGCTGACAAAGTGTGTACCCGGTCTCCAGTGCGTCCATGAAAGTGCCAGCATCCATGTCCAGGTCATACAACATATTGAGCCAGTCTGTGAGATCTTCTTTCATGGCTTCAAGGTACTCCTCGCTGGAGCGAAAAGGTCGTATGCTTTTTGAAGCAGATGACTGAATTTGGCTTTGGTCTGCCATTTCTTCTCATTATTCTCTTCCTTCACCTGCAGAGAAATTGCAAAAATATATTAGCACCATAGATATATTGTTTATTACAGCATATACAGCAGTTTTACTTTCAAGCATTAAACCTGAACTCTATCTATTCACCTAAAAATTAGGATTGTGGGGGGTTCCCCTGACTCGGGGCCTCCCACACTGCAGTTCTAACGTTTCTCTAGAGGTGCTCCAATTTAACTGTCGCCAGACCCCCAGTGCACATTGAGATATCTTGTGCCCCCTCCCAACAGCTCCATTTACCACTTATGCTGGTAGAGGGGACCTGCTCATTCACATTATACATAATACCTCAATGCACTAGAACCTAAATTTCAATTTTATACCCCATGCCATGATGTGTACTCCTATATTCTTGAAATTCATTCATGCTTTTGTGCATTGTTTACATCAAATCCTTAAAAAAATAAAATACATGTATTGAAATGTAATAAATATATAGCTGTATTACTTATTATTTCTAATATTGAACTAGAGTTTTGGATCTGGTGTGGTTATTAAAATCAATAACAATACAACATATGCTCACTAGAATATCTTAGAAACATACTAACCAGCTGAGACAAAAAAAGCCTTATCATATTGTAAACTGTCTTATCATATTATAAACAATCTTCAACAGGTTGCATACACGTGCTGGCTTGTATCATGGGATGGTACAACCATAGACACTAGAAGTTCTTTTTAATAAAGCAATAAAATGAGTAATGCTATGCAACGTGCAATGAATCAAAACAGCCTAAATTTCCAATAACTGTCCATAAATGTTTAAACAATGGGTTCTGATTGGCTACTATGGACTGATGCACTCTGTATACTGTCCTCTGTATTTTCAGGTTTATTGGTAAATATAGTCAGATTCACTACAGGCATTGTTGCATGCCAAATATATACATACATAAAATACATGGGAGTGTTTCAGATCAGTCATTCTATATATATTTTTTTTGTTCCAGGCACTGTAAAATGTTGGTTAGTCATATAATTGAATTTAAACACAGAGGAGAGAGATTACATGTACTAAGGCTAGATTCATATTTGTCATTTTGCATTTTTATGCTTTTTTGTGCATTGTTTATATGTTTTTGGTGCATTTTTTGATACTTTTCATTTTACATTAACATGTTACTAAACCCAAGACCCTGCATTCACTATATCTGGTCTCCCACAGTACACAGAACATGGAAATGCAATTATTTTAGTAAATATAAACTGTTAAATGTTTTTTTTCATCAGCAGTTAGAGCAGTCTTGTGACTTCCATCAGTGTCAAGTTGAGCACTGGTTAAAGCTTGTAGAAGTTTTCATTCTCCTCTCACTGTCCTATGAGACTGCAGAACCCCTTGCCCTCTGTCTGGACAGTGCTGATTGGCCCTGTGCTGATCACATGCACTCTCCCAAGAAACAAAAACACTCTAGCCATACACACCAAACTGAGCATGTAGAGAGTATCTCCTAGGGTTCTGTAGTATCAGCAGGTTTAAATGAAATCGATCCGCACTGCCGCCATTGCTCTAAACTTTTTTTGTTTTATTAAAAAACAAAGATTTTAGAGCAGGGATGTCAAACTGGCGGCCCTCCAGCTGTTGCAAAACTACAAGTCCCATCATGCCTCTGCCTGTCAATCTTGCATTGCCTCAAGGGACTTGTAGTTTGGCAACAGCTGGAGGGCCGCCAGTTTGACACCTGTGTTTTAGAGCAATGGCGGTAGCGCGGATCGGTTTCATTTAATTCTGGAACGGATAAACAACTGTGGATCACGCACACGCCCAGCTCCTGGGTTGAGCATTGGATAGGTAGTAGCATCTACTTTTTTTTTTTTTCAGTTGAAGTATCAGCAGATAATTTGGGAACTGTATAAGCAGGGGAAGATCAGAGAAGACAGGATCAAACAGCCTTTTTACACAATGTGGAGGATTAACCTCTTAGGTTCGACAGTGAGTATAACAAGCATGCTTTACTGCATATACAGACTGATTTTACTGTTGTGGGTTTAGTAAAACTTTAATGTTTTTTGTTTATTTTACAACTTGATTATGCAAAGGACAGCAGAGAAACGAAGGCAATCAAGCACACACCGTATGTGACAAATAAAGTATAGATGAGTAAAAGAAAAGGAAAGTGTGGAGGTGTGGGATGGGGGATAAATGGTTAAGAAAAAATATAAACATATAATCAATTAGAAATAAGAGAAGTGTGTTTCAGCAGTACGTATACAGTATCCTTTGAAGCATTATTATTGCGCTCCTACTGAAGGGTATGCGGCAAAAAAAACACACTATGTCGCACCAGAAGAAGCACCTGCACCTTTTTCCAAGCTGCACAGAAGCAGGTTGTAGAAGGGTGACAGATCACACACGTGAATGGGGCCTCAAACTCAGCAACTGAGCAATCGGAACTAAACCCTCCTGTCCTTTACAACCAAGGAAGCTGCCATCTCCACACACAATTTAGGCCGGTGTGAACTGCAGTAGCAGGTATCTTCTGACTCCTACTGCGGTTGTGAGCAGGCGCGGACTGACAACTCATGGGACCCCTGGGCAATAGGGGATCATGGGGTCCCTGTGTCCTTGCCCAAACTCAAAAAAGCCTATGAAAAAGGTACCGGGGCATCTCATGGGGCCCCCTACTGACCCCGGGCCCTCGGGCAGTGTCCAAGTTTCCAAATGGTCAGCCCACCCCTGGTTGTGAGCAGCTAGCTGCGGCTGCCAGTCCTATTCACAATAATCACAGTTCTCAATGTCACAAAATGCGTCAAGCAGCAATCGCTTCAGGTAATTGCTGGCTGTGAAGAAAGCTGCGAATAGCTGCGGCCACTGGCGACCTGTCATTATCCCCACACCTAGCCGCTCACAGCTGCAGCAGGAATCAGAAGATCCCTGTTGCGACAGTTCACCCTGACGTTCTAAATCACCGGTGTGAACGTAGCCTTAGCCTATGCTTGATATGCAGTTGCCATGGTGCTGCACATGTGATCAGTTATGACACCATCCATTTGAGTTGGTTGAGAGCACAAGCAATTGTGACAGTTAACATTTACAGCATGCCTTGAATGTAACTGCTTTGGGAAACAGTTAAATTGATGGGTGTAGTTCTGCGTTAAAGCGGTTGTAAAGGCTGAAGGTTTTTTTTATCTTCATGCATTCTATGCATGAAGGTAAAAAACCGTCTCTGTGCAGCAGCCCCCCCTAATACTCACTTAAGCCCCCTCTCCATCCAGCAATGTGCACTGGAGTCTCGGCTATCCCAGGACTCCCTTTTCTGATTGGCTGAGACAGCAGCAGGAGCAATTGGGTCCTACTGCTGTAATTCACAGCAAATGAGCCAATAAGAAGAGAGAGGGGGCGGGGCCCAGCCGTGGCTCCATGGGTGAATAGACAAACGGAGCAGTAGGTGCCCCCATAGCAAGCTCCTTGCTGTGGGGGCACCTGACAGTAGGGAGGGGCCAGGAGAGCCTGTGGGGTACCGAGGAGGATCTGGGCTGCTCTGTGAAAAAGCACTGCACACAGCAGGAAAGTATGGTCATGCTTGTTATTTTGTTTTTCTTGTAATTATTCCTTTAGCATCACTTTAAGGGCCAGTTAACACCATAGAAACCACATAGAACCACAGTTTAAATGCATATTTCCATTTTTGATGTGTTTTTGATGCATTTTGGTGCATTTTTTCCCATCTTTTTTTCCTTCACCTTAAATAAGGTCATGTGTGTTCCGGTGCTTTTTTTGTGTTCCAGTGCATTTTACCATGTTCCGGTACAGTTCAGTACAGAAAAAACACAGTACGTCCTACTTTTTTTTTCTGGAACTGTAACACATTGGAAATGACTAGTGTGAATTATACCATTGGAACCCATATAACCTACTATCCATGCATTTGTTTAGCAGGAAAAAAAAAACGTACTGGACTGCGTGTGGTGTGAACCGGCCCTAAGTCTATGGGGCCAAAAACACCCAAAACAGTTCTTTTCTGAAGGGTCTTGCACTCTGAAATTTTTTTTTTTTTTTGAGGCTTCACCTTCTCCCTCTCCCTATGCTTTTATCTGGGAAACTACTGTTTTGTGACACATTACAGTGCATCCAGAAAGTATTCCCAGCGCTTAACTTTTGCCACATTTTGTTATGTTACAGCCTTATTCCAAAATGGATTAAATTCATTTTGTTCCTCAACATTCTACAAACAATACCCCATAATGACAATATGAAAGAAGTTCGTTTTGAAATCTTTGCAATTTATTAAAAATAAAAACCGAAAAACCCCACATGTACATAAGTATTCACAGCCTTTGCTCAATCTTTTGTTGAAGCACCTTTAGCACCAATTACAGCCTCAAGTCGTTTTGAGTATGATGCTACAAGCTTGGCACACCTATTTTTGGGCAATTTCTCCCATTTTTTCTTTGCAGTACCTCTTACGCTCCATCAGGTTGGATGGGGAGCGTCGGTGCACAGCCATTTTCAGATCTCTCCAGAGATGTTCAATCGGGTTCAAGTCTGGGCTCTGGCTGGGCCACTCCAGGACATTCACAGAGTTGGCCCGCAGCTGTTCTTTTGTTATGTGCGCTGTGTGCTTAGGGTCGTTGTCCTGTTGAAAGATGAACCGTCGCCCCAGTCTAAGGTCCAGAGCGCTATGGAACAGATTTTCCTCAAAGATGTCTCTGTACATTGCTGCATTCATCTTTCCTTTGATCCTGACTAGTCTCCCAGTTCCTGCCGCTGAAAAACATCCCCACAGCATGATGTGGTCACCACCATACTGTACTGTAGGGATGGTATTGGCCAGGTTGTGAGAGGCCTGGTTTCCCCAGACATGATGCTTGGCATTCAGGCCAAAGAGTTCAATCTTTGTTTCATCAGACCAGAGAGTTTTGTTTCTCATGGTCTGAGAGTCCCTCAGGTGCCTTTTGGCAAACTCCAGGCAGGCTGCCATTTGCCTTTTACTGAGGAGTGGCTTCCGTTTGGCCACTCTACCATAAAGACTTGATTGGTGGAGTGCTGCAGAGATGGTTGTTCTTCTAGAAGGTCCTCCTCTCTGCACAGAGAAATGCTGGAGCTCTTTCAGAGTGACCATCGGGTGTTTGGTTACCTCCCTGGCTAAGGCCCTTCTCCCTCGATTGCTTATTTTGGCCGGGCGGCCCGCTGTAGGAAGTTTCCTGATGGTTCCAAACGTCTTCCATTTACGGATGATGGAGGCCACTGTGCTCATTGGGACTTTCAATGCTGCAGATATTTTTCTGTACCCTTCCCCAGATCTGTGCCTTGATACAATCCTGTCTCGGAGGTCTACTGACAATTCCTTGGACTTCATGGCTTGGTTTGTGCTCTGACATGCACTGTTAACTGTGGGACCTTATATAGACAGGTTTATGCCTTTCCTAATCATGTCCAATCAACTGAATTTCCCCCAGGTGGACTCCTATCAAGTTGTGGAAACATCTGAAGGATGATCAGTGGGAACAGGATGCACCAGAGCTCAATTTTGAGTGTCATGGCAAAGCCTGTGAATACTTATGTACATGTGTTTTTTTTATTTTTAATAAATTGCAAAGATTTTAATACAAACTTCTTTCACATTGTCATTATGGATTATTGAATGGAGTATAAAATGAATGTAATCCATTTTGGAATAAGGCTGTAACATAACAGAAAGTGGCAAAAGTTAAGCGCTGTGAATACTTTCTGGATGCACTGTATGTTGCAATTGATAAATATCTGATATGTGTACAACATTGTCATTTGGGCACATTAGTATTAAAGCTAAACTCCATAATAAGCAAATGTTGTCTAAATATATTCATCATGTGTATTCTTCCTTGAATCTTGGTGTGCCTTGTGTATTCCTTCCAGATCTGTACAGTAATCCAGTGTGAAACTTTACCTCTGTGCAGGGACTTTCTGTAATAAAGACCTGTCACTAGTGCTATCTCTCCTTGTGCAGGGTGACTGGTCTGGTCTCCACCCCTCCTGTAGTTTTCTGCAGACAGCCTGTAGTGGGTGGAGCCTACTAGGCACCTCCCTCAGCTCTGCTCTCAGCACAAGCTATGCATAGCACAAAGATGATGTCACTGCTACTTTCACAAGGTAAAATTTCAATTTGCAAAGACATCTGGTGCACTCAAAGTGGATTTATATCCTTTGTGGCTAATGAGGAAAATGTTTTAAAGGGATAGTTCACCTTCACCAAAGAACTGCCTATGCAGGTAAGGGCTGTCTGTGAATAAAAACAAACTGTGTGTCTCTGACTAAAGTTGAATAATGTCCTTGCTATAGGTGTAGGCCATTTGTGCACCTCTTGAAGCCTGATTGGAATACTCCCAGGCTGTTGCTAAGTACTTCCAAGACGTTGCTAAGTGAGGCCTAGCCATTAGTCATTACTGCTCACCCCCACCATCACAGGAGTGAGGTTTTTCTCTGATTCAGACCTCCTAACATGATGTTTCTCTCCCATGATGTAGTAGCTTTGAGCTTAGCGTCTGAGAACTCACTCCTATGATGGTGGAGATGAGCAGTAATGACTAGGCCTCAATTAGCAACGTCCTGAGAGTATTCCAGTCAGGCTTCACGAAGGATGAAATGGCCTAGCAAGGGCATTATTCAACTTTAGTCAGAGAAGCACAGTTTGTTTTTATCTACAGACACCCCTTATCTGCATAGGCAGTTTTTTTTTGGTAAAGATGAACTATCCCTTTAAGTGAAAGTGTTTTGTGCATGGAATTCAATTTTAAAAATACCAATGTACTAATAGTGTGCCAGTCCATTGCTTTTCAATAGGGAGAACTTCTCTATCGGATCTTTAGCACCCAATTCTCTTCCCTGAGGGCCGATTCAGACCATGCTCACATATGAATCGCACAGGAACGAGCTTTTCATTCCTGAGCCATTCAAACTGCATGTAAAACGCACTACACTTGCAATCTGCAGCGGGTATCAACAGAAAGTTGACAAACGTCACAAATGAAGCGTGTTTGCCTGCACCGGATCGCATGGTACATTTGTACCATGCGATCCG